TGTAGTTCTCCCTGCTTGTGGCACTGCTTCTTCTCCCGATATGTGTGCGTATATATACATAGACATCAATATAATTATACATCACAGTGTTTTGAACCACAAAGGTGAGTCGTACGGCGTGTTTGTTTGGGCGCGGTGTCCCGACGTTTCGCTGCACGTGCCCGGGTGCTTCTGCAGAAACTGAAAGAAACGTCGGACCTTGTGAGAAGCAAGCCTCGCGCAAAACGACTTTCGAAAGCGCATCGGAGAGAGGAAGCTACACAGAGCAGCAGCAGGAGCAGCACAACATCGGCAACCATCGCAGAGCCGAGGTTACTCCCCAGGTGTTGGCGCGCAGTTATCCGCTACGCCAGTCTTCTTCATTGCAAGGCCCGAGGGCCACAAGCGGTCCCTGGTGGCCTTTGGCGCGGCCTCTGACAATTCACAAAAGTGAAAACACCCCCATCATCATCATCGTGCTGCTGTAAAACCCAGCAATTGCTTCAAATGTGTGGCGGCCCTGACACTGATGAAGCCTTATCGGCGATAGTTCTTAAAATGGTTAAAAAAAGCCCTGCGACACGCGAGGTTACTGGCAACGGTGTCGCATGCAGACTCAGCCACGAGTCTCAGGGCGAGAGCCCAGAGAGTCTGGAGATGCCTCACGAAGTGCTGAGCAACGCATCTCGAGAGATGTCGCGCTCAACTTGGCGGGCGAGTGAGCTGAATAAGCGAAACAATTGTTATTTTATTTTACCAGGTAAGGCCCACTGAGCTATGTAGCATCGTCACATCACGCTTGTGCGCGTGGGCATTTTGTTTGGTTTGGGCGTGTCTGGTGGTGGAAGGTTTTGGCGACGCACATTTTTTTGTGTGCCAACTCCGTTCGTCGTATTCGTAATCCTAAAAGTAAAGTAATTAATTGTGAATATATGCATGTGTTATAAACTCTGTGGAACAAACAACTCCTAATCTCATCTTCTTGGTTCTTTCGGTAAAGTCACGTAGAAGGGATATAATAAAATAATAACAATAAAACATTAAAAAAATACAATTATCACGAGGTTTCGTCCACAACGCAAGCAGCCGTCCTCAGGTGAAGAACAGGTCTGTCGGAAAGACAGCGTCTGAAAACGTCGTGAGAATTGTATTTTATTATGTTTTATTTTTATTATTTTATTATTTCCTTTCTACGTGACTTTACCGAAAGAACCAAGAAGATGAATCCCTGCAGTCACGAAAGCTTTAAATCGAAACTCCTAAACTGTTGAACACGTAGGCTTTCGCTACCAATATCATCCGTAATCAATGGCGGAGCCAGGATTTTCAGGTAGGGGGGGCAACCCCTCCAGCAATGAAAAATGATAGAGGAGTTGTTAGTAAGTAAGGACTTGTCCCTTGCTTTTTATTCGACGCGCAGCCATCGATCGAGGGTCGAATTCGATCCGTGTGTGATCGGCAGCGCGCTCGCTCAAGGTGTTTGCCTTCAGGGAAGTCGTGTACTGTATACGCAAATGCGCACAATTGTTAGTCACTTATAACTGCTTTGCCGTTACTTCTTGTCAATTATGGACTCAGACTATTGTCCTATCATCTCATAGAGTCCCTGGTACGTAATAATATGCTACACAGTGGCAGTGGGGGTCGCAAAATGCAGATTTATTACTAATAAACCCCAATGATCCGATCGAAATTAGGGATTTCGATCGGATCATTAGGGGGCGGGGCACGTGCCACCCCACCCCCCCACTTGCTCCGCCAGTATCAATACTACAGCTTTTTTTTGGGTTAGATCGCATAAATATATAAACTCCTAAACTATTGTTGTATTGTACTCCTTTGTTATTGTTTTATTGTTCTCCTAAACCATTAATGTGTTGTACTCCTATGTTATTGTTCTGATGTATCTTCTTGTTTCTTTCGGTAAAGTCACGTAGAAGGGAAGTAATAAAATAATAAAAATAAAACATAATAAAACAATTCTCACGACGTTTCGGCTACAACGCAAGCAGCCGTCCTCAGGTGAAGAATGAGACACTACCAAACTAGGAGCTTATATATAAGCTGCATTGGGGGTTGAAGAGCGCCTTAACAAAAAGAATGTGCATGTGAAGAGGGATTTAGCATATTCATGGAAAATGCGTAGGCGTTGGGCGGGGGGGTGTCAAAGTCATATTATGCCCATGCATTATGCAGGATCAGCAGCAACCAAGGGGGGTGCAGGGATTAGCAGTAACAAAGGAAAGGAATGTTAATGATATGTAGCTGCAGTTACTCAACAACACGTAGAAAGCTAAAGTATAAACTACATAAAAAACTAAAGTATAAACTGCATCGCACCATCAGTATACTTACTATACTCTATAATAAGCTGAGTTACTAACAGCAAGTAATACATTACAATTTTACCTCGTAAAAATTCTATAATATGCTTCCATCTAAACCTTATTCTCTTACATCACACGAGCATATACCGTACTATATACTGCCATAGATAAACCCAACATTAAATTATATACTGTATTGCTGTAAACCAACCTATATCTTATACATTTAATATCACACTATGTATTATTCTACACACCCTAATGTGTATCGAAATGGTTTATTACGTCCTTCCAATGATTGCTGAGCCAGAATCCATCTTCTCGGTAGATGGATTCTGGCTCAGCAATCATTGGAAGGACGTAATAAACCATTTCGATACACATTAGGGTGTGTAGAATAATACATAGTGTGATATTAAATGTATAAGATATAGGTTGGTTTACAGCAATACAGTATATAATTTAATGTTGGGTTTATCTATGGCAGTATATAGTACGGTATATGCTCGTGTGATGTAAGAGAATAAGGTTTAGATGGAAGCATATTATAGAATTTTTACGAGGTAAAATTGTAATGTATTACTTGCTGTTAGTAACTCAGCTTATTATAGAGTATAGTAAGTATACTGATGGTGCGATGCAGTTTATACTTTAGTTTTTTATGTAGTTTATACTTTAGCTTTCTACGTGTTGTTGAGTAACTGCAGCTACATATCATTAACATTCCTTTCCTTTGTTACTGCTAATCCCTGCACCCCCCTTGGTTGCTGCTGATCCTGCATAATGCATGGGCATAATATGACTTTGACACCCCCCCGCCCAACGCCTACGCATTTTCCATGAATATGCTAAATCCCTCTTCACATGCACATTCTTTTTGTTAAGGCGCTCTTCAACCCCCAATGCAGCTTATATATAAGCTCCTAGTTTGGTAGTGTCTCATTCTTCACCTGAGGACGGCTGCTTGCGTTGTAGCCGAAACGTCGTGAGAATTGTTTTATTATGTTTTATTTTTATTATTTTATTACTTCCCTTCTACGTGACTTTACCGAAAGAAACAAGAAGATGAATCCCTGCAGTCACGAAAGCTTTAAATCGAAATGTTCTGATGTACTTCGATGTTATTGTTTTATTGTTCTCCTATACCACTGATGTGTTGTACTCCTATGTTATTGTTCTGATGTACTCCGATGTTATTGTTTTATTGTTCTCCTATACCACTAATGTGTTGTACTCCTATGTTATTGTTCTGATGTACTCCGATGTTATTGTTTTATTGTTCTCCTATACCACTGATGTATTGTACTTACCGTAGTGGAGAGACCAAAGCGGCTGTCAAATGCATGCAGAGGCTCGCAATGCACTCGTTGGATAATGTAACGAATGCACACTTTGTATTTATGAGGTGTGGTACGTAACGTACTGACGCGACTTCTACGGCCACTAGAGGCCGCTAGATTCAACATAATGTTTTTTGTTGTTGATATAATAATCGATTCTTGAATCGAATCGCAGCCGAGGATCTCTGTCGGTGTACAATCATGAATACACCTCGCATCTACGTCCCTACAGCGACGCCAACAACGGAATGCGTTTGGCTTTTGATTCGGAGCTAAGAACTTTTGAATCTAGATTGAAAATGTACAGTATTTCCTTAGAACGATGTTTTGTGTTCCCCCGCACCTCCGATTAGCACGGTTGGCTACGTAAGGTGCGAAAGAAGTTTAACATACATGTACATTCTACGTCGCTCGCAACGAGGGCTTCATTTCAAACAGAGCTATCCGGGGCTGAGCTCCGAAAAATATTATCCCGCTCCCCTCCCTCTTTCAGGCTGGGGTGGGGGGGGTGCAGACGAGGAGAGGGTTCAGATCCATTAAAGTGTTCACAAGAAGACCCAACATGTGCAACAATAACGCGGTGTGTGTGACCTTGAAACAATACAAATATAATTTACGACGTTTCGGGCAATCACCCTTTTTCTACAGTACAACGCTCCCTGAATAAGCACAGTTTACTGGCATTTCACTTTTATATACTGTACTTTTCACGTGTGCGAGATGTTATTGTTGTTGTCTGTGCGTGTGCACCACTGCCAACGCAGCATCGTCACCATCACTACCACCAGGTGATTCAAGTGTGGAATCAATGGACTGCGTAGATATGTATTTGTCTCCGTGCTGCTTAGCTCTCCGATGCGATGTCCGACGCTTCGGTACACAGACTGGGAGCTCGACCAGGAACACTTGCCAATCCACTGTTGTTGGATGGCTTGCTTCTCGACCCCGCGATGGGTTGCGGAGGTTATTTGACCATACTTCATGACGCTGGTCAGTGGGGAGACGTGGATGTGCAAAAGTATTCGGTAAAATAATGGATATATCTCCACCGCTGTCAGCTTCCCTCCAGGTAGCTCCGCAGCCTGTAACAGCTGTTATGCAGAGTCAACCCCCCACTTCTTCAAGATCTTGAATCTGCCGGCACACAGAGCGAAATGTCGAACACCGTGCACGAATTCCGTACGGTACAACTCTAAAGCACGTCGCAGAGCTCGGTGCCGTGAGCTCCTTTAAGAAACTGGGTTAGTGTGAAGAAGCTGACAGCACGCAGAGTGAAACGTTGAACTTCATTCCAGAAAAATAATATTAAAAAAACATAATAGGAAATCAGCACAGCTCCATCTCTCCAACGTCCTCATTGCATCTCCTTGTTCCTGTCCGCCGGAGACAAAAACACATTGAGGCTCAGAATTTCCTTGAACGCGTGCCGGAACTGCTTGTTGAAGGTGGCGTACAGGATGGGATTGATGGCCGAGTTCATGTAGCCGATCCACACGGTCACTTTGTAGGCCAGGAGGACGCTCTCGTCCATCGTGAATATCACGGCGATGATGTAGAACGGCAGCCAAGAGATGATGAAGGCGGCGATGATAGCGCCCAGCGTCTTAGTCGCGTTGTGCTCCCGTTTCATGCTGGCCCAGCGACTCGCCGCGGCCCTGCCGGCCTCCTCCCCGCCGCCGAGGCCCGACGAGGCGCGGTCCATCGCAGCGATCTTGCGCGCCTGGCCGCGCGCCACTCGATAGATGCGGCCGTACATGAGCACGATGAGTAGCACGGACGTGAAGTAGGGCCACATGCCGATGGCGAAGAGGATGCCCACGCTGATGAGGAAGCGGCAGTCGTCGGGGCAGCCCACCGTCTCGATCCGTCCCTTGGACAGCGTGGGGCTCATGCTGAGCAGGATCGGCGTGGACAGCAGGGCCGAGGCGATCCAGCAGAAGAGGAGCATGAACGTCAGGGTGCGTCGCGTCACCCGCTGCTGGTAGCGCAGGGGGTCGCAGATGGCCACGTAGCGGTCGTAGGCGATGCAGCTCAGGTGCAGCACCGACGCGGTCGTGAACCAGTAGTCCCAGAAGAACTGCACGTTGCAGAGCCACCGCGCATAGAACCAGCATTTGTAGACCGACTTGACCATGGCGAGGGGCATGATTACCACCCCGACGAGGAAGTCGGAAAAGGCCAGCGACAGGGCGAGCGCGTTGGCTCGCGTCTGCAGCTGCCGGAAGAAGGCGACGGCGCTGATGATGAGCAGGTTGCTGAGGATGGTGATGGCGATGAAGAAGCTCATGATGCCCACGATCAGGGCGCTCTCGCTCTTAGAGAAGTTCATCTCGGTGCAGTTGAGTCCGTAGTAGGAGACCACGCACTCCGACAAGCCCTCGGCGCCGCTGTTGCTGCTGCTACTGCTGCTGGAGTTCTCGGCCATGGTGGAGTTTGTGTGTCGCCCGGGTTTTGTTGGACGCCTAGGCTCAGCCAGAGCACCGTCACCAAAATGTCCAGGTGCGGCGCAGAGACTCCCCGAAATGTCCGGACAAGTCTTTGCGAGTGCCGAGTTTATCGCCCTTCAACTAGGTGACGTAGCCGCCGGTCTGTGCTGATGACGGGGGCCTTTAAATGCACAGCGACAGAATGCACCGTCGGCAGCTGGGTCTCTCTTGCCAGCAGTCGTGTAGCTTGCATATAACTAGAGCACAAATGTCCAGTTAAGTTAAACAGATGTTAACATATGGTTCATTGGTACATCATCATATAGCGTAGTAAAGCATGATATATAGCTTTAGCAAATAACCGAGCACCGTGCATCGGCTGCCGAATGAATAAATACCGGGACCCGTCCACTCGTGAAGATCCGCGGCTTTCTAACCAAACAATCTATATGTATAAAATCGCGAATCTGTCTGTCTATCTGTCTGTGTGTGTGTGTCGCCGGACCATACGCACTTTCATTGGACGCCGGTTGCCCCTGGCAACGGCTAGCGACGCCTTCGCCGCTTTCATTGGACGCTGGTTGCCCCTGGCAATGGATAGCCACGCCTTCGCCGCTTTCATTGGACGGCGGTTGCCCCTGGCAACGGGTAGCCACACCTTCGCCGCTTTCATTGGACGGCGGTTGCCCCTGGCAACGGCTAGCGACGCCTTCGCCACTTTCATTGGACGGCGGTTGCCCCTGGCAACGAGTAGCGACGGGCCGCGGGGTGGACGCCATTTTTTATTCCCCTTAAAAATAGGCGCACGCATTAACACGCGACTCTGAGGTAAATTCATCAAAGTTTCACGTACTTTTCACTCCCCCACCACCACAATGTGTGCTATTAATATTACTTTTCAACCCAACGCGCCAACAATCTATTCTTTAAATGTTCACTGTACAAATAGTCATTAAGCTGGGTGAGCGTACTGCCAGTCTATAATGTAGACTGTAGCCTGCTTATTAAATTGGGTGAGTGTACTGCCAGTCTATAATGTAGACTGCAGCCTGCTTATTAAGCTCGGGCAGCGTACTGCCACTCTCTCATGTACACTGTGGCCTGCTTATGAAGCTGAGTGGGTGTACTGGCAGTCTGTAATGTAGCCTGTAGCCTGGTTATTATAATCGATCATTTAAATGTTCTTTGTACAAATAGTCATTAAGTTGGTTGAGCGTACTGGCCGTCTATAATGTAGACTGTAGCCTGCTTATTCAGCTGGGTGGGTGTACTGCCAGTCTATCATGTAGACTGTAGCCTGCTTATTCAGTAAAGTTAGTCAATTTGTAACACGTACGCTTTCGCAAACATTATTCATAAACAACGTTATTGGGTTTACATCCCCTTATTTATATATGTGTTGTAACCCTTATCCAGCACCCGACACGCCCAATCTGCAAAAAATTGTCACGTTCATAAAAGACTAAGACTTCACTACTTTAGCCCACCGGTGTGTTCAAGCGTACAACCACAACTATTACAATTTCTCATTAAAAAACAACTGTATAATTATGTTTAAACCCCACGCGCCAATAACGGATTCTTTCCATGTTCATTCTACAAATAGTCCTTAAGCTGGCTGAGCGTACTGCCAGTCTAGAATGTAGACTGTAGACTGCTTATTCAGCTGCGTGGGTGTACTGGCAGTCTATCATGTACACTGTAGCCTGCTTATTAAGTACAGTTTGTCAATTTGTAACACGTCGCCTTTCGCGAGCATTAATCATAAACAACGTTATTGGCTTTAGATCGCCTTATTTATTAATGTGTTGTAACCCTCCACCACCCAACACGCCCATTCAGTAAAAAAGTGTCACGTTCAGCGGTGAGGGAGGGAGAGCGGTGAGGGAGGGAGAGCGGTGAGGGAGGGAGAGCGGTGAGGGAGGGAGAGCGGTGAGGGAGGGAGAGCGGTGAGGGGGGGAGAGCGGTGAGGGGGGGAGAGCGGTGAGGGAGGGAGAGCGGTGAGGGAGGGAGAGCGCTGAGGGAGGGACAGCGGTGAGGGAGGGAGAGCGCTGAGGGAGGGACAGCGGTGAGGGAGGGACAGCGGTGAGGGAGGGAGAGCGGTGAGGGAGGGAGAGCGCTGAGGGGGGGAGAGCGGTGAGGGAGGGAGAGCGGTGAGGGAGGGAGAGCGGTGAGGGAGGGAGAGCGGTGAGGGAGGGACTCAGCCTCAAAACGAGTAACTGGTGTCGCGTATTAACATCGCCACTGGCGAGACAAAGGCGGCCAGGCGTGGTGGATACAAGTCCCGGGCGAAGCCGGGTAGTACAGCTAGTTTATATTTAAAAAAAGGTTCGGCTCAATTCATGACAAGCACGGCCTTCGTCCAGCAGTGGATTCTACTCTTCTCCTTCCAGATGATGACGATGATAATGACAGCAGCAGCAATGAGACCAGGAGCTAAACACCAACGTGGATATCCTGGCTGCTGCTCGCCAAAGGCGAGAGGGCTCCAGGAGGGACAGTGAGAAATCGTTCGCGTAGTTTTGCTGTTCCTCCTCCGTTGAAGGAACGCAGACTACAATGGGATATTGCACGGTCTATAGCAGTGGATGGATCGAGGACGGTGATGATGATGTTGATGAGGGTGATGATGTTGACTTGAATCTTTGAGCGCGGGTTCGTCTGATATCTCGGAGCTATCATCGGTTTACGTGGAATTATGTTTTGACTTTCATTCATTCCGGTAATACAGTCATTCAGTCACATTGTTGTCCATCGGCAGGCAAGCATTTCAATGATTGAAGTGTAGATTTCGCGTGCCCAGATTCGGATCTCGCACGCAAAACTCAACGCTCTAATAATATCGCTCAGGTAAGCCAATAGACCGATAAACTAACCCTATTTGTGGAGGTCATAGAGCCGCAGTGTTGCTTTGTCCACATGCTCTCGTATTGGATCTTGTGCCGTGAGCGTGCGATCCGCGCTTTGTCATGACGAGCTGCGGTGAAGAGAGAGGCATGGGCTCATTGGAACGCATGCAGAATGTGACATTTCACGTGCAATGTGTGTGCGCTAAAAATCACAATTTTTAAGTTTACCAGGTAAGGCCCGCTGAGATATATAACTCTTTTCAGAAGCGGCGTCGCCACAAATGATGGCTCAACGAAGTGGCTTATCGTCATGTGGGAATGTCTTATTCTTCATCCACGCGTTTGTCACACTTATGAAGGGTCCACTGTCCTTGCCAACCTTCTCCATGGTGCCCTGTCCTGCGCCATCTCTCTTTCCGCTCCTCGGGCCACCATGTTCGATCGCATCACATCGCCCCGCCACCTCTTCTTCTGCCTTCCTCTTGATCTCTTTCCTTCCACTTGCATCACTTGCACCTTCTGATCCACATCATGTTTCCTGTTGTCTCTCCACATGGCCGAACCACACCAGCATGTTCTCTCTCATCTTCTCTGTAATTTCTACCACATTGAGTCTTCCTCTCACTACTTCTTAATTTCTCACCCTGTCCTTCTTTGTTAAGCCCAACATCCACCACAACATCCTCATCTCTGTGACTGCAATAGCTTAGTCCTCTCTTTTTCGTGTGCCCCAGAACTCGGCCCCATACAACAGCACCGGCCTCACCACCGTCTTGTACACTTTTAACTTAAACCAAACTGGGACCCTATTATCACACACCACACCAGTCATCTCTCGTCATTTTAGCCATCCAGCCCTTGTTCTTCTTCTCATCTCTCCTTCTAGTGATCGATCAGAACACATCGTTGGACCCAGGTACTAAAACTCGTTCGTCTTCATTGACTGGTCACTTCCAATTTGCAATCCTCCTTTGCATTATTTCCACTGTAATTTGCCACAATATACTCAGTGTTTGTCCGACTGATCCTCAACACATTCCCTTCAGTATTTTGCACGTGGGAATGTATAGCATCGAAATACTCTAAACGCATGTTTCTAGATGTGGAAGAAAAAACCGGAGGACCCGGAGAAAAATCCACGTGACCACGGGGAGAACATCAATACTCCAAATTTACAAGCGACAGGGTCGAGATCAAACCCACGGACTCCTGCATACCAGGCGAGGTAGTTAACATCTCGCCACTGCGGCATCATATCATGGGCGAATGAATGAATCTTAATTGACAAATAGATGGATTTTATATCACGAGTTCCTAAGTTCCTTGGAGACAACCCTCAGACGACAACGTGCACCTCGTTGGATGGACTGGTAACGTGACGGCGAGGAAGTGTTCGAGTGGCTCACAGAACATGGGTTCGAATCCAGGTTTCAGGAAGTCGCCTGTGATTAAACCGGGTTCTCGAGTGTGGTGAGTCCGATGGTCTCAGCCCCGTCACGAGTGACTCACACAGACCCATAGACTCACATAGCCATTTATAGACTCGTATAGAAACCCATAGACTCACATATACATATATTGAGTTTGTGATTAAACCAGTTTCTCAAGCGCGGTGAGTGAATGTTATTTGCCCGGTCACACAAAAGACAGCCACTTCATTTGGCGAAATTACTGCCTTGAGAATGCAAATATCGCTTTGAGCGTCAGGCAATGGACGTTGCGCTCATGACTCTGAGCGAGATGGGAGGAGTGCTGCCCTCTCTGCTGTGTGGCCCAAGTGACCTGAAGGGATCTCAAGAGTTAGTTGCTCTGGAGATTCTTATACCCTTCGGGCCATTGTCTCAGAACACAGAGGGTTGGAATAGGATGCGTTTGGTTCCTTGACCGGAACGCCGACAGAACAAGAGTGACCACCCCAAACACGGACCTCGTGGGTTCTAACTCAGCTCAGCAAATGTCCGAGTTGAATGTCTAGACGGGGGGTAAAACACAGCCAAAGTGCCCCGATTAACTCAACGTGCCACGAAGATTGGCTCACACCGTCGTTACCGCGCCTCTGAGTTGCGGCCACTACGTCTGCAAATTTGCGCGCGTTACAAATTGTACTATTATTATTATTACCTATCTCGGTCGCCCTCGCCAGGATGAGT